TTTCCCCTGCGTTAGATTCTTTTCCTAGTAAAATTTTTGTATGTTGCTTAGGGTTTCTTTAGTCATCCATGCCATGGGTTTTAAGTTTCCCTTTGTGTGTTTTGTTTTAATTTTTTCGTGCCATGGTTTATCTTGTCCTAAGTTAATATCAAAATTCCTTCTCCTAGGTATTGTAGTAGTTATTGGAGCTTTTATATTTGGTTCTGCTTAAACCTCCATGTGCAGCATGTCAGTCAGTTTGGTTCCTTGTCTCTGACTTTAGGTAAAACTGAAATCTGAAAGTTAGTGGTAAAGGCAGTAAATGTTCACAGAAATCTTTATACAAATAGGATTTTTTGGTTTTTGGTATCAAACAAACTATCTTGATTTCATTAGTTTAGTAAAAGTTTTCATAACATCTAGTAGTCCAATATTTACATATATGACTACACTTGATAGTCGCCTCTTACATTGATGAAAATGCATCCATTTCTCATAAGGAAACAATCTAAAGAATTTGAATTTGGTTCTTTAACTGATTTTGGAAGATTTGGAATTGTTTAGATTTGTAAAAAGGTATGCTCTAGTGTTCTACTCCTACTAATTTTTCTCTTGCTTTCCTTAAAATTTTCATGTGTTGCGTAGATTACAACAAGTTCTGTTGCAATCAGAAGAGGAACTAATGGAAAAACGTTCTTCCGAGCTTACCAATGAGGCAGTTGCCCCAAAACCTAAGAAAATTGTTGGCAAGATGAAGGTACTTTAAGGGCATCTGCATTTAATTGTTTTTAACTAAAACATTTTTATTGTACTTTTCTGTAGTATTGCTTGGATATTTGTTTCTTCCGGTTTATCTTCCTTTTTAGTTATGGATTAGCCAACTTGTTATTTTTTTTTAATTTTCCAACATCCTTTCCTCTCTATCCATACATGTCATTAGAAACATATGCTTGCATGCTGAGGCTGAAAAGTTCAACTGAAGAAAATAACATAAGAATGCAGCCCGGATCCGGTGAAACACATCTCTTGTATGCAACTATTCCTTAACTCTCTTGCTTTCTCTAAATTTCTCTAAGATTGTTACTGACAAGATAGGAACTGATACCTCATGCAGCTTCCCAGATAGTTTTGGAGATGAACTAATTGTTGAAGTTCAAGACTCCAAGGGGAAGCATTTGGGTCGTGTCCTTGTACAAGTGGCTATGCTGCTGAAGATTTGGTATTGTTCCAAAATATCGACAATTAGTTCTAATAATTTAATTTTATTTTATTTAATAATGTTCATATGAAATTGAATGTAGACGGACAAGTTGCGCTGGTGGTCTATTTACCGTGAGCCAGAACATGAACCTGTAGGCAAGCTTCAGCTGTATATATACTACAACTTCAGATAATAGTCATCAAGGAACTAGTCTTGATTAGCTTAAACTTTTAAATCGTAGTTCCTTAATTAATTGCATTGATGTATGTAGCTCGTAGTTTGAAGAAAGAAGGTTTGGTCCATTTGTTTGCTTTCAATTTGGTACTATTGTCTAACATTTAGTTGTTTAATCTAAAAAAATGAATTAATTTGTAATTGTTTTGTGATATCAATTGCATTCTTTTTTAGTGTGGTTATGTTATAGAAACAGTTGCTTATGACCTTGTCTTGCAAGTTGCAATGAAGGTTCAACGATTCCAACAAAGAAATGTCTAATTATATGGATCATGGAAATAGTTGTTAACAGAGTTTGCCTTGTATTATGGAGTTTCTGATGTCTACACCAAGCGAAGGTAATTGAATTTTGCCTTTTCTTTTATTTTTGTCTGTTGGCTTCATATTTTAGAAGGTTAGTGTTTTGGTCAATGTTTTTAGGTCTGGCATCTGTACATTTTTTACAGGTATCTTTCTTATGTAATGGATGTGGCCACGCCTACTGCTGACTGTCTGGGATTGGTGCATGAATTGTTAGTGCCAGTTGTTATGAAGGGCCATACTAAAGGAGCATTGACTCAGCAAGAATTGTTATGTTGCATCATAATCTGCTGTGTTGAAATAAAATGGGTCTTGTAAAGTCAATAGGTTGCTGCTGAAATAAAATGAATATGTTTTGTTCTCATTTACAGAAAAAAAAATGTTTAAATTATAAAAACGAAAAATTTGCTAACATTTAATAAAGCATAAAAAATTATAAGAATCACAAGTTTATTTTTCTAATACAAATATGATAAATAAAGTTTACTTGACTAATGCAAATAATTGTAAGGTAGAATTGCAGAATTTAAACATAACATATACATTATCATTTACAGAGAATTCAGTAAAATAAGTGAGCATCATCCTACATTTTGGTAGGAGTAAAATGGTTCATCTATTAAAATTTTCATATGCTTATTTAGTTAAATGTTGATGTAAAATTTAATATATTTTTAGATAAATAATGTAAAATAGTATTATTATAATTAAAATAATACATGATATATTTACTCTTTATTCTACCCATTTCTTTTAAATTTTATAATATATATATAAATTTTAAAAAATATAAATTTAAAATAATAAAGTAATATATTTTTGATATTTTTTATATAAATATTTTCATTTAAATATTTAGAATTCCACTTGTTAACACATATAGAACAAGGACAATTTGGTAAAATACATGTTCCAATAATCTCATATTCCTTCAACAAAACATTGTAATCATACATTCCTGCCAAACATACCAAACACAGTAATGTAACATTCCCAGTAATGTATCAGGTAATGTTACATTCCGGTAATCTCATTCCCAAGGTTAATGTTATATTCCATGAACCAAACGCACCTAAGGGTTTTAAGTTCGAATATCCCTACCTGTTTTTACGTTGGTTTATTCACTTTCAACCAGAGGGTGACACGTGTCACCCTTTGATATATGAAAATAAATCTATTAAATTAAAAATTAATTAAAATAAATTTAGTCTTCCAATCGAATGAAGACACGTGTCGTGACAGGTGTGTCACCAATGACACATGACATCTCTTGATTCGTGGGAAAATTTATTTTAATTTATTAAAAATATGACCAAATTAAAAGAATATATAAATAATAGGATCATTTGTAGAATTAACCAAATAATTTAAGAACCACGTCCCCTACTCCGTTAAATGTTAACGACATGTGGCTTGATTGAAACATTTAAATAGTTAAGTGGTCTGATTGATCAAATTAAAACATCGGTGGTCAAAATGATTTTTGAATATAGTTGAGTGGTCACTCGTGTAGTTTACCCTTAAAAACTAATTTTTCTAAAATTACAAAAAAGCCCCAACTCCTTAAAAATATTAAATCCCTAACCCTAACCTTACCTTCCTTGTCGACCAAGATCATCGAGGCCGCCCTTGCCATCTCCTTTGTCTACTGTCGTCAACAATGTCGTCAATATAACCGTCAAAATTTCGTGTCGAGAATTTCAATCGTTTGGTTCGTCGGGCTTATCATTGATTATATCATCGAGTGGTTGGTCGTTGGGTAATTGACCATTGTCTGGAGGCGCGTTTGAGGATAGACTTGATCGACGATGGTAAACGCGGCAGCCGACATTAGTGTAGGATTGAAATTATGATTTTTAAAGTTTTTGAGGATTTCTTAAGATTTTTGAAAATTTTGGGATTTTTTAATAATTTTTTAAGTTTTTTTATTTTAAATAAAAATTTCAAAATTATATAAACATGACACGTGTCACTTAACAGGATATTTTAAAGGTTGTTACGACCGACACCTAAAGTATAATGTTTGTAACGTTAGACACCTGAATTGACCCCAAAAAAAGTTTACTCACCACTTTGAGAAATATGATATAGTTTGGGTACTTATTTTTACATTAAACATATTAATAATATATAATAGGGTAAACTACGTTTATATTCATTGAACTTTTAAGTACTTTCACTTGAGTTAATAAACTTCTAAAACTTGTATTATAACTAAACTTTTAATTATCTTTCATTAGTCATTATCATTAATTGTCGTTAAGAAATATTAATATGACACAATAAAATCTTCTTCTTTCAAAAACTCTAATTTTCCAAATTGACAGCTATCACAAAAATCTGAATTTCTAATGTCGGTCAATCTCAATAGTAGGAATACTTCATTTTGTCAAAATATTAACATTTTTCAATTTCAAGTTGATACGACAAGACTTTTATTAGATCGTCTTCTTATTTTGTCGTCATTTACACCATTGTTTAATGATTTCTCCAGTTAAAAATATCACCAAGTTTCTTCTCTTTCTTTCTTTGGTTCAAACTCATCAGATAAGCTTTTAATCTCTTCAAATCCTAATTGACACTAAAAAGTTAAAACTTTTGGATCCGCTACTGTCAATTATCAGATCAACTTTAAACTAAAATATGTTAATTTTCTGACTAAACAAATCCTTCCAACCATTAGAAATTTCGAATTAACTGATGATCCCTCCATAAAAAAGAATTAAAAATTTAATAATTGTACCGCAAATTTTAAAGTTTGGTGACTAAAGTGAAAGCACTCTAAAAGTTGGTTTTAATTATTAAACTTTTTAAAGATATAAAATATTTATTAAATTTATCAAATTATTATAAAATAGTATTTTTAATATTTTAATTATTTTTTATAAATATAATAATCATTTTATAAATTAATTATTTTTACAGTAATTTAATATAATATAATATTTATTTTATTATATCAACAACCAGTTAATTTAGTTGGATGAGATACTAGACCACTCAAGCAAATCAAATGTTCAAATCCTTATATTTGTAAATAGAGCAAATTGAGTTGAAAGGATCTCATTTACCTGTGTAATATCTTATCCGAATTAATTAACTAATAAATTAATATGATAGTTATACTAAAAAATTATTATTTTATTATAATTTGTTAAATTTAGTAATCAATTTATAACTTTTCAAAAATTTAATCTTGAAAATTTAATCAAGAGCAAGTGTGAAATGGAATCGTGTATGAAAAAAGTATCCTTCTTCCAGAATGACCCTTTGATAAACTTCACAATTTCAAACTGTAAAACTCATTGAAGCACTCTCTTCCTCACCCTTTCTCTCTCATTCCCTCAATTACTTAGCCCAATCCTAATCCAAATCAAAACCCTAATTCGAATTTCAATTCCGATTCTTACACTGTAAGTTTTAACCTCCGTCCAATCTTTTTATGTAAGTGATCAAAATTCTTTCTTTTTCTTATACTAGAAAATTTTGCAAATTGGATTCCATTTTTTACCTTTTAATGTCAACGAAATTCTGCCAAGAAACAGACGGTTTTCAATGTTTCTCAGGTCGCAAGAGGAGTTAGCCAGGGAAGCTATAAAACAAGCTCTGAAGGCGCTGAAGAAACGACATTTACTCGAAGAAGGAACTCATGCTCCTGCATATATTGCTCTTTCCAGGCCCATCATCTCTCAGGTTTTTTTGTTTGTTTGGGTTTATTTTTATCATAACAATGTATGGAGTTGCTATTTTTTAAAAATAGAAGGTAATGTTGAAATAGAAGTATGTGAAAACAAGTGGGTTTGGATTAAAGAATTGGATAAATCATTGGCTTTCCATTAGAATAGACAGCCCCTATGCAATGTTTTTGATCCTGTGTGAGTACCGATACTTGTATGTCCGTATGTGTTCATTCGAGTCCATTCAATTATTCTTTAAAAGCTTTTTCCTGTATTTGGAAGGTTATTTCCTACACCCATGTCTGGTATGTGTTAGACATAAGTACTTAAAAGTGAAATGAAGAGTCGGAAAAACATAGATATTTTGTAATTGGCTATGTACATGTCGAGTACGTGTATGTTCCTGACCCAAGTATGTTCAGTTGTTTCTAAGTTATTCATGGATTTTTGGATCATATCTTCATAATTATGTTCAAATGTACATTGAACACAAGCATCAGAGATGGATACTTAAAGAAAATTGATTAGTTGGAGTAACATAAGTAATTGGTGAATTTCTTTGTAGGGTTCAGAATGGAAAGAGAGCTGAAAACTTGGAAGTGGAACTTCAACAATGTTACAAAGCACAGTCTAGATTGTCGGAGCAACTGGTGGTTGAGGTAGTTGAGTCTCGAGCTTTAAAAGCTTCTCTACAAGAGAAAGAAACAGCTATTGCTAGATTGGAGAAGGAATTGACCCAAACCAGGTTTGTTTGTGTCCTTTTTAGGGTTTGATGGGCAAGAGTGTTAGTTTTTCTTTTCTTGGAATTGAAGTCACTGTGAAATTAATAACTGATGGACTGTTTAAACTGGCAGGGACGAGTGCTCTCAGTTAAAAACAGATTTAGAAGAAAAGATTAGAGCTTTGGAATTGGTGATGATCGAGCACTAGGAACTCAAAGCTCAATTAGAACAAGTGACTATTAGAGTAAAAAATTTAGAGGCTGAAAATAAAATGTTAGTTGATCATTGGATGCTTCAAAAAATGCAGGATGCTGAACGGCTTAATGAGATATGGTATATTGTTATTAGATAACAAGGTGTATTTCGATTGGTTGAATTGGAGAATGATAAATAGCTAGGTCCATATATGTTTGAACTTTAAGCATGTTGGGTTTATGATTCATTAAGAGTTTTTTCATGCATACAATGTAGCTAAGTCTGAACATTATCAAATTGTCTCTGTTGGCATTATTTGTGACTTTCTCTTGGATGGAAAGCGAAAAATCTTACTATAATAATCAACACTGAGTTGCATGCTCTGTAGTTAATATTCCTGGAATGATGGTATTTAATTGTTAGGAGGTTCTTAAACAACTAATTTTGGTGGTTTAGAACCATCAGCTGTTTACTCGGAGCTGGGCTGATTTTGGGTTTGGACAAAGAGAGCATCGTCTTTGCTTGTGTCTTCTTGAGTAGCTAGACTACTAGAGGAATTCAGTGGTAACATATTAACTTATTTGTTTTCATCAACTTCTAGGATTGATTTTACTTATATTCCTTTAACTTGTCACCATGGAGAGAAGATTAGTGTCATTTAGAGTTATAGAACACTCCAGTGCGAGTTAGAAACCTAAATGGTAAATATTAATGAAAGAGAATTTTTTCAATCCTATTCCTTAATTGTGAAAGGGTATAATTTGTTTTAATATGCCTGTTTGATTACAAATATTAGTGCTTAATTTTAGTTTTCCTTTAATTAATTTAGGCAAATGCACTTTACGAAGATATGATCAAGCGACTCGAGGCCAGTGGTTCAGAAAAACTTGCCCGAGAGCAAGTAGATGGTATTGTCCGTAGAAGTGAAGAGGGTGCTGAGTTCGCAGAATCAATTGTTCCTTCTGTTTGCAAGCACAGGATCAATGCCCATGAAGGTGGTTGTGCTTCAATATTGTTCGAGTATAATTCCGGAAAATTGATCAGCGGGGGACAGATCGATCGATCAAAATGTAGGATACTAGCTGTCGTAACGGTCTTTCGGGTGGGCTCGGAATTGGGATTCGACTTAAATAAGTGGGTTAGAATTGCCGCCAATCATTTATCTTTAAAATAAGAACTAGGTTAATCGTACATATCGGTTTATTTTCTTACTGATCTGCATCTTACCAAATATATGTCGGGCTCGGGAGTCGGTTACAGTAAAGGAAGAATTATCACTCTTGTACTGCCTTTTCGGTACTAATTGAATTTCATTGTCTTAAGTAAGAAAATTACAAGTTAAATTAAAAAGTAAAAAATTGATTTAAATTACTCACCTTTAATTGATTTATAGTACCCCGAAAAGGTTCAAAAAATGTTAGATAGGAAAAATAAATTATTGAATGAATCAAAAGGAAAAATTAACAAAATTTTAATTTTAATACTTTAAATGAAACAAAGATAAAAAGAAACACGCACATATATACATACCGAGAAATAAACGAAAATAAAATTAAAAGAATATAACAAAAAAATAAATGGGATAAACTCATGTCAACAAGGGGTCGGATTATGTATATTAGGAAAACGTGGAATAAAAAAGATAAAACACGAATAATGTAAAGGGAAGAAAAAAATTGTAAAATAATTAAATTTAAAAAATATTGTGATGTGAAAACTAAATAAAGAAGAGTAAAGGTGAATTTGATAATTAAAACAAAGTGCAGGATAAATTTAAAAAGAAATTTTCATGAAATTAAAAAGGGTAAAATTAATTTTCAAAAATTTTAGGGACTAAAACTGTAATTTGACCCTATTCTATTAAAAACACACGATCCTAGGGTGAAACGGTAGGTTTCGGGTCGACTATAAAGCCCAAAAAGAATAAACATATTTCATATTTTCCTCCCTCCAAAATCGATCAAAACACCCAAACTTCAAATTCTCTCAACCGTTCTTCTGTCCTTCATGACACGAAGAACATTCAACCCCAAAATCAGATTCCAGCCAGCGAGGCGTAGATCGGCATCAGTCGCCGTTCATCGACAGTGAGACCCCAAAAAATTTCATTTTTAAAAAATTTCCATCTCTTTCTTCGAATACCATTCGTTTTCATAAAAAAAAGCCTCAGGAAGGGCTAGATCTAAGAAAAACTTTCCGAAAGCCCTCCCCGATCATCGGCTTTTTCATTTTTCGAGGGTAAAAAAGAAAAGCAAAAGAGATCAAGCAACATGCAAGAGCAAAACCAAGGTAGGTAAAAAATACCTTTTTATTTCGTGTTTCCTTTTCGAATTTTACAAGAATTCCTTGCCTCTTTTCTAACTTATTTTTGCTTTGTTTTTGCAGGAATTTATAGCCTAAACATTCCTTATTTTTCGTTCGATTTAGTGTTTCATTAGGATAGAAATACATGGTTGTTTTTTTGAATCGTATGAAATCGTGTTTGTTGAGTTGTGTGGTTGGTTTCGTCGAGAAAACGGGTGGTGGGTTGCGGCTGGGATGAAAACTCTCCAAGCCATCTTGATCATCGGATGACACGTTGATCCGACGGTCCAGGACATGCGGCGTTGAAGGAAAATAACAAACCCTAGCTCAATCAAAGCCTTGAAATGCGGGCCTACCTTTGGGTTGAATTGGGCCTACACATAAAACAAAACCAACAAAAAACGTTAAAATAATATAATATAAATATATAATAATATAATATATGTATTATGTGAATATAAATACTATAAGGTTTAATAACATAATATATGTATGCTATATCACATAAAATAATCAAAAAAATAACATATTATATAATGAGGTTAGACGAACATGTGTGGCTACAGCTACCCCTCTTTGCCCATAGTCGTGTAACAGGAATAGGGCAAATATTACAAGACACAATTTTCGTCTATCCTGGGGTTCAACGTCCTCTATTATGGGGATCAATTCATATCTCATCGAATATTTCCGTCGTAGAGTTGAAATTCGATGTTATGATTAGTTTGTTAATTCGGACGGAATTACAGAGAACTCCCTTTATGTAAAGTTGAAAAGACTGTTTGCACGATATCCATTGTCATAACGTTGAAATCGTGGTTGACTCCTTCGCTGTGAAATTGAGTTGAACTGGAAAATATTGAGCACGATATCATTCGTGTGAAGTTGAAATTGTAGACATTTTGAGCGTGATAACCTTCGTTGTGAGGTTGAAACGAGCTCAGTATTGAAAGTAGCTCACGAATCGTCTTCTAGCTTTTCCTTCATGAAGCTGAAATTTGACCTGAAGACTTTGGTATGAAAATGGTTATGCATTGCTGAGTTGAGCTGAGGCATAAATGACTCCCTTGTCATGGAGTTAGGTCAATCTTTTGGGTTTGATATCCTTCATTGTGAAGTCAAAATCGTAGGTCAAAATTTGAATCGAAAAGTGGCTCCTTGCTGCAAATCTTAGTCAACCTTGGTCTTTTTCTTGGTTTAAAGATCTTGGTATGAAAATTTGACCGGAAAGTAGTTCCTTGTAGCTACCTTGCGGTAAATACATCCTCGAGCTGAATGGAATCGAAATCGAAAGTTCTCATTGCCAGATAATTCTTCTTGCCTTGAGTTATGTTGTACTAGACTGTGAGATAACTTCTTCTTGTTGCGGATTACTTATTTCTATGACACTAAGTCAATACATAGCCACCTGATTTAAATGTGTTGCAAAGAGGTGGGAATATCATGGGTTCCCATTTAAATTCACTGATATTTAATCTGGCCAATCTTCTTTCTCGGTTTTTCTGAATTTCCTTCCTCTTTAATATAGGAAAGACAGAGTGGATCCATCCTTGCAACAGATTCCTAAATCCTCTTCCTACTTTGGTACTCTTCCCAAGGTCTGTTTGATCTCATTTAATGCATTCGGAGAGCCGAGGATTGGAAATCTTTCTCCCTCATAAATGTGGCATTCACAAAACTCTAGAGAGCGGAACGAACACTCTATCACTTCATCATTTATTTATATATGGGCATCAGTGGTCATTCTCCACGATATCTTCTTCAGTATTAACAATTACCAGAGCCCCGTCAATGAAAAACTTGACTTTCTGGTGCAGCGTAGATGGTACTGCTCCAGCTTGATGGATCTAAGGCATTTCTAAAAGGCATTTGTAGGAAGGCATGATGTCCAACACCGAGAATTTGATGTTGTAAGTAGCAGGTCCAATAATTAAAGGTATCTCAATCTTCCAGATTACTTCTCTCTTGGTCCCGTCAAATGCTCGACCCTTATTTTGGCATGCTTCATATGGGAAGTATCACTGGTATCCTTTTCAAAGTAACTAAAATCATCACATTAAGGGCAAAACCATTGACGATTAACACACTCGGTAAGGCGTGTCCCTTGCAATGGGTGGTGATGTGTAATGCCTTAGCTCGACCTCTTCCTCCAGACGGAATCTCATCATCAGAAAATGAGATGAGATTATTAGCTTGAATATTGTTAACAGTCGATCCATCTTGCTGACTGATATGTCTTGTGGCACAAACGTCTGATTTAGGACATTCAAAAGTGTTCATGTGTCTATGAACTTAGCAGCAGTGCCAACATTGAAATACGTATCGACAGGCTGTGTAATTGTTCTACGATGATGTATTCGTTGTGTTTTAAAAAATTTAGAAACTCTATAGCTTTTCCTCCTTTATTGGCTCGTTTATTGTCAGCACATCCCCTTTGAAGGGTTCAAGTGGTCTATGGGGGACTTAGCCTCTTGGGAGTAGCGTTTCCCCATGATATACCCCACTTTGTTGTCATATTCCTGCAAGGTGCTTACTTGGCATTCATACTTCCAAGACACTTGCTTGATGTCCTTGTAGGAAAAAGGTCGGGGTGTTGTGATCACCACCTTTGCTTGTGTTTTCTTTGCTATCTTCACTTTAGGGGTCATTACCAAAGGATGACCCCTATCATATCCACCTTCGAATGATTCTCTGGTAGTATAAACATCCGCTTCCAGAGAGTCTCAGACTTCTTCATAGAATTCCAGCTCCTTCATATCCATCATGAGCTAGATCAAAGCTTTAAACTTCGGGTAATCTTGCATCTCATGCCCTTCTTCATTGTGGTAGCAATAGTGATTACCATCTCCACTCCTTGATGTATCTAAATGTGGTGCAAGAAACCCTGCTTTCACCATCTGGCTCCATACCCAAGCCAAAGGGGACTTTATTTCAGAAAAACCAGTTTTAACTTTCATGCCTTTCTCTGTAGTGACTGCATAATCCCAGTCTCTTGATGATTAGGCAAATGATTTTGTGCAATATTTGGTGATATTGAGTTAAAGTGATCCATTCTTGTTACGCATT